AATTAACTGTGGGGATGAAGTTATAAGTAGGTCACTAGGTTTAGGTTAGAATGTAAGGATGAGCAGATTGGCTGGTTGGACTTGTGGGATCAATTCAGTGGAAGAAGGGAGCTTTTTGGAATGGATGGTTTACATTAAAATAAGATAGGGGCTGGCTTGTATGCTACAGCTATTAACTCAGTTGAAAGTTTTAAACTAGGACTAGACAGTGGTGAGGGCCAGGATAAACTAAATGCAAAAAGAATAAGATGCAGAGAAAAGTTTTGTATAAGAAATGAGTATAGAAGTATTATAAGGATAGGCTTAATTGTTACTACAGTAATGCTAGAAGTATAAGAAATAAAATAGATGACTTTAGAGCACTGGTAGGAATGGAGAATTTTGATATAACGGGAAAAACTAAACTTGATTAAACATAGATGATTTTGATGACAAAATGTCTTTGAAATACAGGGTTATAGGCTTTCTAATAGGGATAGAGTAGTAAAGAGAGGGGGAGGAGGAGCTTTATAAGTAAAATGTGAGTTACATCCTATTGAAGTTGAGGATATCAAAGATAATAACAAGAAGATTGAATTGATTTGGGTTTCTATTAGTGGATATAAAGGGTAAAGGCTTTTAGTGGGAATTTGTTACAGACCACCAAATGATACTGGTGAAATTAGTGAGAAACTTTTGAATGAGATTAATATTTCAGCTGGTAATGTAGTCGTTATTATGGGTGATTTTAATTTCAAGCATATAGATTGGGAAGTGCTAGAGTCAAACCGTGAGGAGTAAGGTTTTTTGTAAACTGTTCAAGATGGCTTTCTTCACCAATTAGCCAAGGAACCAACTAGAAACAACACTATTTGAGATTTATTGTTCACTATAAATATACAAATGATTAAGAGGATGGAAATTGGGGAACATCTGGATTCAAGTTACCATTGCTCTATTAGGTTCAATGTTTTGCTGCATATGGAGATAAAGAATAATGATATTTTGGCTACAAATTTCCAAAAAACAAATTTTGAAGGGATGCAACAAGAATTATCTGTTGTGAATTGGGGAGCTGAGTTATTTGGAGACACTGATCAGATGTGGAAAATGTTTAAAGATAAATTTTTAAATATTCAAGGTAAACATATTCCTTATAGAAAGAAAAGGGTAGCTGCAAGTAAATAAACCAGGTTGGCTCACACAGAGTTTAAAAGATAAAATTAAAGAAAAACATCATAAATTTAAGAAATTTAAATTTCCTGGTATGACAGGAGACTTAGAAGATTATAGAAGATCAAGAAAGTTGGTGAAACAGGAAATTAGGACATCAAAAAGAATGTATGAGAAAAGGTTGGCTGAAAATGTAAAAATGTAATTAAGGCTAGTATCTGATGATTATGAGATGGCTGGGTTATTAAATTTTGCTTATTCTTTGGTTTTTACTAACAAAGATTTAAGCAGTATTCCACATCTTGAACAGTTTATAAATGGAAATGAGATCAAACAAGATGACTGCATTAGTTCTAAGCTGGTTAAGAAAAAATTGGGAAGTTTGGAAAAGGATAAGTCTCCTGGGCCAGATAATATTTCCCCAAGGGATTTGAAGGAGGTCAAAGATGTGTGAGCCACTTACTACTATTTTTTGTCAGGTCTTGAATAGTTGGCAAGTACCAGAGGATTGGAAGTTAGCTAATGTAACTCCTCTTTTCAAAGGAGGTGATAAAAATTGTCCCAGTAATTATAGACCCATTCGTTTTACATCAGTTGTGAGAAAAGTTTTGGAAAGTGCGTTAAAAGATGCTTTGCAAAGTCATTTGACAAAGTGTAGAATTTTATTGGATAGCCAATATGGTTACACATAAGGAAAATCTTGCCTTATAAATCTTTTGACATTCTTTGAAAATGTTACTGTTTATGTACATGAGGGTAAGGGTGTAGATCTGGTGTATGTGGATTTTTTAGTCAACTCTACACACTAATATGAATGTTATCTTGTACACTATAGTAATAGTTTAAATGAGATAGTATGAAAAAAGGCTTCCTTCTATTATAGTTACCTGAATAAATTTCCCAAAGTGTTCTATTAAATTTGTATCATCACCTTCTATTTGTTCTTTAAGTTTTGTCACTCCAAGATGAAGCTGATTAAACTCTGCTTCCAAAGCTTCGAAGGATATCCTGTAATGTCACATAGATGTGTTATGTCTGAAAGTTAACATTTTCATAAATCTAAAATGTATTTCCAATAACACTTTCCTCCTCTCACACACCAGCTATTACTCAACTGCTAAGGTTTCCTTCCTTTGCCCATCTAAGCATTGGTCTGATTTTTTCTCGCTTGCTTTAATCTTTTATTCCCACTTAATTGCCCTTGGCAATATCTGTCTCATAACACTCTCCACCTCCGTTAATGTACCCTCTATCTTGGTACTGTATTAAGCACCTCCTTCAGATAATATTATCACTTTTTTGACACTGACTCAATCTGCAGTCTCTAACGCCTGCTCTTAATGGAAAGGAAGGGCAGGTAAGTATTATTGGAAACTCATTTTTCATTTGAGAAAATGTTAACTTCCAAAACATACTTACCTCCTCTCCCAATTACAGCTAGAATCTCACATTGATAAGGTGAAGGGGCCAGTAAGTGGTGCACTAACAGAACAGGTATGCTCTTCACCTACAACCTAATTCATGTACTGTGGGTGGAATTAGACGTGATTATCATCACTACAGGCCAGGCCCCAACCAGTTAGCTGAGGTTCCACTGGTCAGGATTGGAATTATAGGGCCATGGTCCCTAAATCCCAGGTTGGTGGGTTGGGCATTTGGAATGCAGTGTAAATATTTGTGAGTGGATCCCAACCTGTAGTTATAGAGAGATATGTTCCGAGCCACTGGAATAAGAACAAGAAGGTAAGCAACACCTAAGTGGACAAACCTTCTCCTCAACCTGAAGTAGTTCGAAATGCAACACCCCAAACTGTGAATGAGGGGATCCTGTATGCTATACTCAACATGAGGAAACATAATTTATCCAATCTGGAATTATGAACACTCATCCTCACTCCTCAACTATGTGGGCAAGTTAAATTCCATTTGTCCCTGGAATTATGAGGAGATAATGGATCCTCTTCCATGAATGAAGTACTGAAAGAATATTGATCAAAAAGAAGGGCCACTCTCAACCCAACTGGATAGCTGAGCACTAAATCTGAGCCGGTATGACGAGTTCGTTTCCACATAGGCTGGTGCCTCTTCTGCCAACATCTGGGAATCAAACATTCAGGGTCCCGGGTAGAAGGGCCCTCTTGTCCAAGGGTGAAGAAAATTCACTAGAACTCTCTGGAGGAATAACATCTGTTTACCACCAAGTGACTGGAAACTGGATGTGGTAAGGAATCCCTAGCTTCACTAGTAGAGTGGGGTAATGTGCCTTGGGTAGTTCTGAGGAAGAGTACTCTGGAAACAGTGCAATATATGAACCAAGTTCACTAATTTTTGTAAAAGCAAACCAACCCCAATTTATATAATCTAATGATCAGTATGGATGGGCAGGATACCCCTATGCTTTACTCATGATAGTCCATGAGTGATGGTCCATCATAGTACAGTAATACCATCAAGTCTGCCTCTAGGTGGTTTTATGGAACACCTCATTTCTACAGAGCCTGTTACAACTTAGATAAAGTATATTGAATTAATGGTTCTTAGATAAAAGCAAATCGGCCTGGACAACCCTCCCCACAGAGTGGGATTCTGTGAAAAATAGGTAAAGGACACAGAAAGTAAAGAAGAGACAATATTCATAATGAAAATACTCACCCTCTTTTATAATCTAGCAGATAGCTACAGGGGTAGTCAAAACCCTCAGAGTAATATACTACCAGATCATGCAAATAATGCAAGATAAAAGTATTGGGGGAAGTCCACATGCTAACCCACACAATGTCCTTCAGTGGGCAATTCAACCAGGCTGCTAAGGATATAGAAATGTGATGAATCTGATGAGTACCTTGCAGAAGTCTTCTCACCTCCAAAGAGAGCGAAGAATAAGTTATATGGATCAATTTTCTTACCTACTTCGTCAAGGTAACTGGAGATACATCCAGAGAAACTGAAGGAGACCAATGAATAAAAGGTCATTGTCTAGCACCTCTAAAGGCATTAGTGCAGGCAACATAACACTTCCAGACCCTCCCTGGACATACCAAATGAGTGGGATCTGATCGGGCATAGAAGTGAGAAATAGTGGTCAGTTGATTTTGTGAAAATAATTTATCCCCTTCCTTGACTGCCAGTGTCTTAGTTAAGAAGGACCTGTCTGGGTATAGGAGGACCTAGGTAGAACGATAAAGTGTCCTGTACACATGCAGCATAAACAACTCCAGCAGCAACAAAACATAAACCTTAAGGGAAAGGTGATATATGGTATATGAGACTAAGGGCTCAAATGGATGTCAAGAAAGAGCATGTAATACCACCTTATCATCCCAGTTAGGTACCTAAAATTGTCTTTTGGGACAATAGACACGAAATGATTTGAGGAAGCCAGAGAGAACTGGGGACTCGAATAATTTTTATCTCTTTGAATATCTAAAGGTAGTCAATGAGGCTGCTTTATATAAGGTGATTGTGGAAGATGTTAAACCCTTGTCAAAGAGCCAGGTCAAAAGATGTGCTATGTTTGGCATTTCTTGATGAAGTTGGTTCAACCTCCTTGCAATACACCATTGTCAATATGTGTGCCATTTCTGCTGATAAATGTCCATCGTGTGACTATGCAGAGTCTGAGACAGATACATGGCAACCTTAGAAGTTAAACCCAGATGCTGTGCAAAGGACTGTATAACTGCTATGCATGAAGCTTGGGTTTCCAGATGACTGGGAGTATGATGTTGAATTGTGTCTGCTTCAACAGAGATGGCCACAGAAGAAGTGGAATAGGTGGGCACTCCTGAAGGTACTGTGAAAGCAGAAACCAGGGTTTAACCAGCCAATCCAGTGCTACTAACAGAACATGACAAGGGGTTAAACAAATCATAGCTATGACTTTGAGTAACAAAAGAATCAGCATAGAGGTGCAATCCTGTCCAGTCCTAACCGAATTCATTTATTGCCAATACTCGAGAGTGTGGTACCACAGACCAAAATGCTAGTAATTGAGTGTTCAAATGAGTAGCAAATGCATCAATCATTGGTGTCCCGAACTGAGAGCAAATCCAATGGAAAACCTTGTGATGTAGTATCCATTCTGTTGGGTCGAGACAATTGATCTGCTACCAAATTACTCATTCCTGGAATATGGCAAACTTGTAGGATGATATGATGGTAGTGGATCCAAGAAAGAAGATCTAAGGTTTGAAAACAAGGAAACCTGGACTAAGCATTTCCTTGACGGGAAATGTAAAACCCCACCATAGAATTGTCAGAGTGAAGCATTTTCCTCCTCAATAAGTCCAGACCTTGAGACATTGCCCTTTGAACAGCAAGAAGAACTAAAACACAGATGTGGAGGGAATCCTCGTCATCCATTATTTGGCCCTAGAATTCCTGACCATTGAGATATGCACCCCATCCCTGAAGCAAGGCATCTGTTAAGAGATGGATCTTTGGATGAGGTGGTAGCAAAGGAACACCTATCATACCATTGTTCCGATCTAACTACTGCTCAAGATTGAAGATATCGGTCCTGAATAAGGTAACTGGAGAATCCAGTGGATTGCTCTTTGTGAACCATTGAAGGAATCTCATGTGTGCTCATTCCAAAGGAATGAGGGATTTGAGTGATGCCCATATTCCCAAAAGAGAATGACCCATTTGGGCAGTGGGAGAAGGAGTAATGAGTAAGAGTCAGACTACCAGTTCCATAATTTGAGCTGGATGGGAATCGGTTGAGACTGAGATACGTGTGAAAAAAGACACCCAAATGGACAATATATTGTTTTGGTGAGAATAGATTTCTCATCTCTGATAATAAAGTCTGCCTTGGTTGCTTCTGAAAGTAGAATATGGGTGTCAAATTCCACCAACTGATGAGATGTTGCCAGTAGTGCCCAGACATCCATGTAATGATGTGTGCACAGAACTAGGGAATGGAGGTAATGATAAAAAGTTTGTACAATGTAGCAGAACATATATAATACCATATATGCAGAGTCTTGAACTGCATTATCTGATCCTTTTTCACAAAATGCAGATAGTGGCAGACGACTCTGCTATAAGAACGTGTAGATGGGCGAAAATTTGGTCATCCACAGTCCTGAGAAAAATGTCAATGCAGAGTGATTAATGACTCTGTTGTGTACCTTGTAGAATCTAGGAATCAGTTGGAACGAGAAAGATCGAGAACCAGATGCCAATCTTCTGTCTTTTGGAGCACAACAAACAGACAGGAATAAAACCCTGGAAGAACTGGAATGACTATCTCCATTTGAACAACAACTCTCTGATAGTCCTGGCACAAAGTTCCAAATCCGAGGATCTGTTGGAGGCGGAAATTAAAGGTTGGGAGATGATGGTGATGGAGATGTGAACTGAATGATTAATCCTGACACAAGGACCTGTAGTACCCATGGATCTGTGTTAAAGGTTTTCCAGACGTCCAGAAATTCTCGGAGCCTAGCCTCCACCACATACCCCAAAGACATATGGTAGTCACCTCTGCCACTGGGACTATTCCAACTGAGCAGAGGAACCTCGTAGATATGAGCAGAACCTATTCTGGGTACCAATGGACCAAATGGCTGATGTTGGAGTCATGACACGGAAATAAAGGAAGAACTATGAATCCCTGTAGGAAAGTCGAGAAACTAACAGCAACAAGGGTGAATGCAGATGGGTGAATCAACCCTTGATTCCAAACACTGGAATGCCTACAAAAATCAAGGGTCAGAGAAAAGAGGCCTCACATAACTCACGCCCTTCAACAATGCATCTCTACCCAACAGCATACCAGCTAAGAGACTAGGGAAGGTGCAGAAACTAACAATCAAACCATGATAGATACCAACAATGGTCCCAACTTGTCATCAAAGTGATGTGGCGATCATTGAGAGGCTTCTGGCAAAAACTGGAGGGATGAAAGATATCTTAGAACTATCATTAGAGTCAGATGAATCCTAGAAAATTGTGATATATTCAGGTTGACCACAGACTCCGTTCTGAAACCCTACATTTCCAGGAGCGAGTCTGTTCTTTGAGTCTATATACGCTTCCACCTGGCGGTTGTAGACTAAAGCATGTTGTTCCAACAAACATGGCAGACAAGGCATAGCTGTCCCCTTTACATAACCGAGCAGTAAACCTCCCTTCATGAATCACAATATCAGCAGATGGAGGAAGAACTAAGTATTTGCCTTCAAACCTTTCCACCACCAAGAAAGGCATAGACTTAAAAGCAACCCGGTTTTGCGTCAGAGAGGTCACGTGACTAGTATCACGCCACCTCTTTCTCGAAATATCCTGTTCCTTCAAGAATGCCCTAGCATTTACTAGATATGTGTTAGTCTTGTATATATAAGACGTTCACAACGTGACGGGATAAAAGAGGTAATGAGTAATTGAACTGCAGTCAGAGAGAATATTGTTAAGAACGTGAAAAGTTCGTTGAGAATTATAGCGCTTGTTACAGAGCGACTGTTGAAATTAAGTGTATCGTAAAGTTGAATTCGGAAAGAATAAACCAGATTTATTTAAGAAAGGACTTGTGTCGCTAAAGTTTCGTCGGAACGAATTTACGGAAAATCAATTAACGAACGGAGCCGTAACACCGGGAAAGACTCAATTCATCATGCGCTCGATTGACTAACTGAAGAAAAGAAGCCGGAGGCAGATGAACTAAATTGGCCTCATAAGAAGCCAACAGAATAAAGGAAAGCACTGGAAAAAGTGCATCTAAATTCTCAACCGAGAATGACTCCTCCTCCCAATTGTTGAGCGACGCTAGGTATCAAAGATGGGATAGGAGAGACCTGACTTGCCTCCTTGCCAGAAACAGGATCTCCAACAGTCGTAGTACAGAGAAACCCGTCAGTGAATGCTTTGTCAAGAAAAACTGATAACATTATCTGAATGACGTGTTTATATACAGTACCAGGATAGATGGCGCATTGATGCAGATGGAGAGTGTCATGAGACAGATATCACCAAAGGCAATTAAGTGGTAAATAAAAGACTGGAACAAGTGGGAAAAAATCAGACCAATGCTTCGATGGACAAAGAAAGGAAATCCTAGCAGTCGAGTAATAGCTGGGTGTCAGAAGAGGTAAGTATGTTTTGGAACTAATAAAAATCCTCAAAGTACACTAAGTAATTTACTTACACTGAATATAAACACTAAATCCACTTTGTACACTGATTCAATAATGTAATGTGAGATAAAAATTACTATTAACCATGCACACTGATTAAAGCATTTAGTTTAACAAAATATCACTAATAGCTTTGTGCATTGATTCAAGTAATAAGTCTATGATAAAGATTACTTCTAAACTTTCACACTGATTAAAGTATTTAGATTGATATAAGGACAATTGATAAACTTGCACATTTATTAAAGTATTTAGTCTGAGAAAAGGACTATTTATAAAAATGCATATTTATTAAAGTATTTAGTCTGAGATAAAGATTATTTCTAAACTTGTTCACCGATTAAATACTTAGTCTTTTATAAGGATTACTTATAAAGTTGCACATTTATTAAAGTATTTAGTTTGAGATAAGGACTACTTATAAACTTGCACATTGACCAAAGTATTTAGTTTAAGATAAGGATTATTTCTAATACTGCACATTGATCAAAGTATTTAGTCTGAGATTAGGACTATTTTTAAACCTGCACACTCATCAAAGTATTTAGTCTTAGATAAGGATTACTTATAAACCTGCACGTTTATCAAAATATTTAGTCTGAGATTAGGACTATTTTTAAACCTGCACATTTATCAAACTATTTAGTCTGAGATAAGGATTACTTATAAACTTAATAATACCTGGCACACTGTTTCAAATATTTCATGTCTGAAATAAAGTCCAACATTTCTTTATCTTGTTTCTCAGCAACTTCCACCAAGTAATGAAGTAAGGTCATCCTTGGTTTATTAGCTCTGGTATCCATAAGCTTCGGTAATGTGCTGAGTCGGAATCCAGCAGCATTTCCAGCATAACTTCCCTAAAAAAGTAGAATAAAAAACAATAGTATTTACTAATAATGCAAAGTGTTTTATAAATGGCCTTTTCTCAGTAGTTTATGATATAATTTGGTGAAAGTTACTATTCTAACAAAAGAATACACAAAATGGCCTGATGTAAACATGGCATAAAATAGACCCGACATAACAGAAAATGGCCTGATATAAACATAGCACAAATTACTATATCTAATCTGAATAGGGATTTACATATTCACTTACTTGTAAGTTTTGTTGTTAGAATAGTAACTTTCATTGTTCCATTTTGTGGTGTATGTATCAAGCCATTTTTCTGCTATGTTTTTACCTAACTATTTTGTGCTATGTTTATATCAGGCCCGTTAGTAAGTACTTGTATACCTTAATCTAAACAAATTAACATATAGAAAGAGAAGAACAATAATTACAGAATTCAGAAAGTTGCCTGTTACCAGGACCAGATGAAGAAACTGTTTCAGAGACTTATTATCAAGCAAACTGTCGCACGTCTGGAGATAGTGATCGACTTGGAGTTGCAGGATTCCAACATTGGGCTGGAACTCCTCCATCAACAACATTCCATCAACCATCACTGTGAAATTTTTGACCTCGGATAGCTGCAAAAAGAACTGCTCAGCTGAACCTAGCTTTTCTTTGTCACCTGTGTATGACTTCACTGTCATTATCTGTGCACAAAAGTTAAGAAATATTAGATGCTGTAAATTCGCAAAATAAGTACAATCTCAACAACAGTAACATGGTTCTTTATTTTAAATAACATCAAATATCATCCAGGTGTGTATTATTGATATCAGCATATCTGATATATAAATGTATAAGATGTGGGAAGTTTGTCATTAATAGGTAGGCCTTATAAGAACTAAAACTTTGGAAACTAAAGAGTATCCACGAAGGTACAAAACTGGTATTTATGATATTATGTGCTTTTCATTTTTATTTTAAACTAGTAATAATAAAGTTTTAAAACATTAAACATTTATATAAATACATTGTCAAGATAATGAGTTTGTTATTTCTTGTTTTTAAGTCAAAGACAATGGGTTATCAACCCTGTGTACACCATTACAATCCCTCAAGCTTACTGCTAAGTCACTAAGGTGGAAAAAAACTATGAGATTTATACATCTTAATGTTGTAAGTGTATTCATTTCTGTTACACAAATATTATACATGTTTTTTGCCCCTCAGTGGTATGTCTGCAGACTTACAAAGCTAGCTAGAAACCGGGGTGAGCAGAACACAGATAGCCTGTTGTGTAGATTTGTACTTAACTACCAATAATCTAAATTTTTTACCATCTCTATTCATATCAGTAATACAAGGAAATTTTCATGTTGTACATCTACTCAGTCAGTGGATTCATAAAATGTGATATAAGAAAACAGTGGAATTTTACCAATAAGGTTATAAGCAAAAAATGTAATGCTGTTATAGAGAATGTATTATAAATAATTCAAATAGATTTAACAACTACTTTATACATGTAAAAAAATTAATAATGAAATTTGTATAGTGGATAACTAAAAAAAAAATTAGAACCTCATGTTTTTGTATCCCTTGTGGAGAAGTTAATAATAATTGGTTTGAAGTAAAAGAAGGTGAACATCTGGTGCATAATGTACAAGTTATATTTTAAAACAATATATATATATATTGTTGCGTCATCGAGGTTACGTGACTGGTGTGACGCCACTTATTTTCTAGAACTATCCTGTACCTTGGCGAATGCTCTAGTATTTACTAGATATAGAGTAGTCTGGTATATAAAAGAGGGTGACAACGTGACGGGACAATAATGTGTGTGTAGATAG